AGCCTTTCTGGAGGCAATTAAAACCATTAGCTTCATCAGCCAAGGCCAACGTTTTAATGTCTCTGAAACACTCAGGCTGCCAAAGTTAATTATTCATCCTTTTCCTAATTGGATTCAGATTGCATTTTAAAGGTGCAGCTTCAATAGAGTTGGCTGAGCCTTAATTTTTCACCCCTTACCTCCCCTCCCTTCCTTCCCTCCAAGAAATAGCTCATAAGAGGTTGTTTAACCTTTGCAGAAGGGTTTGAGAGTGGATTTCAGCCCAGGCCAGTGACTGATCAGCTCATGGCAGATCTGTCAGTTTGAGAAACAGGGGAAAAACCATCTGTAGGTGCAAGTAACTTCATGGTGGGTTTGCTTCTTTGAGACAGAAAGTTGACTAAAAGGGGCACTAAAATACAACTTACTCTTGTGTCTAGACCTAAAGTAAAATGCAATTGTCACGTTTTGCATTTCCACCAGTGAACAAATAAATTTGGTTTCATAAAATGTGTGCACGATATAAGCACATTCAAAAATGTCATTTTCTGGGTTCCACCAGTAAGTAACACTAAAATCCAAATGTGAGGTAGGATATAGTCCTTAAATTTCAAGGCTCATTTTTTAAGGTTGTAAACCATTTTTTTGGTTCAAAAACTTGTCTTTTTCTGGAAGAGGATGAATTGCTTTGCAGCAAGGAGACTTCAAAAGTAGCTTAGACAGGGAAATTACTGCTTTTGGTGTCTAAATGCAGAAGTAATTTGGGACAAACCCTTTCAGGATCAGCTATGACAAACCTTTGTTTAAGTGTCTGAGCTCAGTCCTTTGACATGTTGCCTCTTAAAGCATAGAGGGATGTTTTGAAGTAGGTAAAGAAGAACATGTTAAGTTAGTACTTTCCCAAAATGTTGATGTGTTGTGTTCCTGTAGCCCATCCAACTTTTCGATGGGTTGTTGTGCTGTGTTGTATATATGGTCACTCATTAACATTACATAAATAAGTAAGTTTTCTGTTCTAGACACAGATTAACAATTTTTCTTGAACAGCCTAAACTGACCTTTACCAGCTACTCCAGACATGAAATTTACCATCCATTATAATAAATTTTCATCTTCCTGTGCAGTTATTTTTAAACAGAGGTGCTAGAGATCACTCTTTTGTGTGTGTGTGTGTGTGTGTTATGAACAGTATAAAGGAAAAATATATATTTGGAGTCTGAACTGGTATCTTTCCAGGATCACTTCTCAGGCCATCCAGTTGCCTGTGAGTTTCCAAAATAAAAAGTGTTGAGCAATGCACTAACTTATTTTACGAGGGAGAGCAAGACAATAGACTGGAATACCCCAGATGGGTGGATCTGCTGAAACCACCAGCTCTTTGTCCATGCTGTTAGCAACACTTGCAAGGTAAAGAGCCTAAACTACAAGGGTGGGAGTTTTATATGAGGTAGGAATTTTTGATGAGACTTTGTCAAAGCTGAAACTAAGAAACATCTGTCTTTTAGTGTTCGTGGTTACTGACACAATAGTATGAGCTCGTTTCCTGACTTTTCAGCTCGCTGCAGAGTCAGAGAATGACCATATAAACCCAAAGAAGCAAAACCTTTCAGAAGAAAGGAGTAATTTAGTGTAGATTGGGACAAGTGTAAGAATCAGTCTCATGGGACTATTTCACAGATTGCTCAGTGTTTGATTTGGTACTTTTTAATGCTATTTTCTTCAGTAATAGCATTACAGCCTGATTAGCACTTTTGTGCTGACTGCAAGATCATCCCAAATTGCTGTTTTATACTCCACATCATGTAGGAAGTCTGAAAAGTTTCAAAAAGACAAGCTGAGGTAGGATGAAATCAGCCCATATCAGAGCAATGGAATTTATAGGGAATTGTCTCTTAATTGATGATGCAGAATGCTTTGACAGTCCAGGTCCTTCTAGCAAACTGCTGCTCATTATCACAACAGGAATACTCCACCTCCTGCTGTGCAGTCACAGATGGGTTGTGAGAAGTTAGTAGAGATCTGATATCTTAAATACACATCTCTCCTGGACCAGACTTATGCAGGTATTGATTTAAGCATCATCAGATTTTGGTTGTGTTTACCTGAGCGAGAGCAATTTCCAGTTCATAAATGCAGGGACCTGTGCAGGTTATTTTAGGTTTCTGTTAATCTTCTACATTTTGTTGTTAAGAGAATTTTCCCCCCTTTTTCATTTCTAAGTAATACAGACACCACTTGGGAGAACTTGATTCACATCCTGCCTTGCCCTGCAGGAGTTTCTGGAGGAAGATTGGGCTAAAACCCAGAGAAAGACTTTCTTAGAGGCATGTTAGTTATGATAGAAATTAGTGAGAAAAGTATCTTTGTGTGATCATCAACTTCTCTAGGATTACTATGGAAAAACCCCAAATACATTGATTTTCAGAGGGCTGGAACACCTCTCCTATGAGGAAAGGCTGAGAGAATTGGGATTGCTCAGCCTCGAAAAGATAAAGCCTCAGGGAGAGCTAATTGTGGTCTTCCAGTACCTGAAGGGACACTACAAGAAAGATTGAGAGAGACTATTTAGAAGGGCCTGAACTGACAGGACAAGGGGGAATGGCTTCAAACTGAGAGTAGGTTTAGAGTAGAGAAGAGGAATAAATTGTTCCCTGTGAGGGTGCTGAGGCACTGGCACAGGTTGCCCAGAGAAGCTGTGGTTGTCCCATCCCTGAAAATGTTTGAGACCAGGTTGGATAGGGCTCTGAGCAACTTGGGCTGGTGGAAGGTGTCTCTGCCCATGGCAGGGCAGTAAAACTAGATATCTTTAAGGTCCCTTCCAACACAGACCTTTCTATGATTCCATGATTTTTGCCCATTTTCATTAGTTTGTTTCTCTGAATCTTCTGCACTCATGTGTGAGAGTAAGACATCCCCTTCTCTCTGCAGTTGCTCTGCCAATGCAAACACCGTGATAGACCACTGTAAATCTAAATGAGAACTGAGCAGCTCTGACCTCTCTAGGGAGCATTTTCTGGCTGCAGGTGTTTGGGAGTGAAAGGAATGAAAGAAAGCTTTGAACTGCTGAAAAATACTGATTACAGAGTGACTTGAATCTGGAAAAGCTTCCTCTGCTCCCCTCCTCCTTCTGTAGAACTGCAAGCCACCTGTAGCCAGAGAAAAAGATGTGTCTTGGAGAAATCAGGAAATAAGGTCCATACATTTTGGACATGAATATCCCTGATGAGGAAATAACTTCCAAAATGCCCAGTTTACCACACAGGTTATTACTAGTTCAGGAATATTCTGTGAAGAATGGCTATACATTGCTTCTCTGGGGGATGAGGGACGATAGGAGCTCTTTTGTAGAAATTATGTGGAGCTTTTAAGCTGGTCCAGCACACAGAACTCTTTTGTTTCTGTAATTGATGCTGTCCGAGTCAGGGAAAAGAAATGTGTCTTTGACTGAAAGAGAAAAAATACTCAAGAGCTGCATCATATTTCCTAGGAACAGTAACACCATAGCAACAGTTGTCTTTCAGTGCTGCTGCTGCATCCCTTAATAGTTCTCAGACTGCTGAGCAAGCCACAAGTTATTCTGCTGTAAAACTTACTGTACATGAGCTGGTACTGTTGGCAGATAATTGTAGGAAAAATGTACATATAGGACACATCTTTTTCTCTGTATTTATGTTTACTCATAACCACAGCACATGTCGTGTCTCTCCTTTAAAAGGAATTTTAATAGGAAGTTTATTGGTAGAACTCCTTGGATTTGATAATCTCTAATGAAATACTTTGTTTGGGAGGGACGTTTTATTGTGTGTGTGGAAAAGAATAGAAAATCCCAAACATGTGAGAAAGGATTAGTTTTTATTAGATAAAGTTACTGTAACAAAGTTGGAAAATATATTGTTCCTTTCAGTATTTGTTATAATAAGTAAATATTTTGAAGGAGTTTTCAGCTAGGAATTTAATTTGTAGTGAATAGAGATTGAAATGAACACATAGTATTTCACACATCAAAATTAAAACTTTTTGATTGACCACATTTTATTTTTTTTTCCAGTTTATGTTCAGTTTATGAAAGTGTCAACTCTATCCAAATTCAAGTCAGGAAAAATGTTTGAAAATTCTTCTGAGATGAGAAAACTTTTTCCTGCTTTGCTCTGTTCTGCTTATTAGATATTAATACTGCCTGGCTCCCTTTGTTGGGTGTGGCTTTTTTTTTTTTTTTTGCTCATTCTTTTATGAGAACTTGGATGGAAAATTAAAGCACAGTTTCTGATTAATTTAGTATGAATGGCCAAACCACACTGTCCCTCCTGCATTGACTCTGTCCAGGTTTAACATAGATCCTGGTGGTGAGAACTGTGGAGTTACAGTTTAAATGCTCATGAAATTTGAATTGATTCTACAAAAGGTGCCTGTAGGTAAAACCAGAGCCTGAGATGAGAGGTTTACACTCCAAGTGCTTAGGCTGGGTCTTTTCTGTGGGTTTTCCATTCTGTAGGTGTCAGCCCAGCTCCTTCCACAGGCACTGAGAACATGATGCATTCAACAAAACAAGTGGGCTATAAATGGCCCATGATTTATGGGCTATCTGGGTTTGTCAGTTCTCACTGCTGTGAAACACTTCTGGTATTTGAAGAGTGATGTAAATTATTGCAGCGTGAGAGCATTAGCAAAGGGCCCTGTGAGCTGTGACAGATCCCATCGCTGACACTGTTTGTGCAGCCCAATAAACTGCTCTGATCTCAGGTTGGATGATACTGCAGCAGCAGAGGAACTTGCTTGTTCTGAGGAAATACTTGGCTTAGGAAATAAAAGAGGGAACGAAACGCCATGGGCATGTGGCTGTTCTGGCTGTGCAACTCTCTTTGGAGTTGGCTCCTCATTTTCCCTGCTAGAAACAGCAGGGAAGGATTGTGAACATCAGATTATACAGGGGCGACTGGAGGAGGAACTGTGATGTGCAGGGGGGCTGCAGGGTAATAAATCGATTAATAGTTTTTCTCTCTTTTTTTCCCCTTTGTGTACAGCTAACAAGAGAACACCAGGTGGCCCTCTCCTCCATCACTTACATTGGCTGTGCTCTGTCCATCTTCTGCCTGACGATCACACTGGTCACGTTTGCTATATTGTCGTGAGTAATTTTAACTTAATACCTGCTGAGCAGCTATCATGCAGAAAGGCAAAGCAGTGCATTTCAGGTCACTGGGTAGGATCCCTTCAGGTGCTCAGGAGAAAACAAAGGCTATTAATTCTACAACCTTCCTTAATTAGATTCTGTACATGTATTTGTAACAGTTGGTTGGTTATTTCTAAATGACTTTCATTTCCTGAAATGGGGTGGTCTTTATATAGCAAGCTATTTCCATCCTGTGAGGGATTTTTAGATTTTTTTTTTTTAAGCTCTCCATGCTTTGCTATAGTTGAAGAATCTTGCAAAGAGGCTGTAGGAAGGCTTGGTCTGGAGCTCAGAGCAAGCACAATATGAGCAAGGACTGCAGGATCAGCCCCTCTGCCCCCAGTACACACATCTTTGGCTTGCTTGGAGTGTAAAATCACTACTTTCTGCTTTTCAACTGTCTTGTCTTTAAGGCAGTGTGTTTATAAAGGAATGCCCAGAAAGGAAGCCTCGGTCAGTGTTAGGTGCCTAACTTTTGTCAGTTTGTACACAATTACATCATACAACCCACATTTATTTTCAAGCATCTTGCTGTTCTCTGTTAGGCTGGTTTTATAATGTGCTACTTTAGTAGGATGAAGGACACTGCAGACAGTGTGAAATTCACTCCCTGGCTGATGTTTAAAACCCCTGGATCTCTGCAGCCTCCTGCCCATAACACATCAGCCCCTTCAAGGGCTCTCTGCACTGGGAAGGTTTCTGCCACAGGACATCAAGGCCTTTATGCTTGTTTGTGTTCCAGTAGTGACAACTGAGTTTGGGCCCAGCTGGGCTTGATAGAAACATTTCTGAAAAAATTAGGCTTTCATAGAGGTTTGTGTCTACATAAACAGTAGAAAACCAGACAAGGGGTTAAGACAACTTGTCTAAGGTTGCACAGCAGATTGGGACTGCAGCAAGGAATGGGATTCTTTGCCTCCTTTCACACACTAAACCATATTCTTCCTACTCAATAGTACAATTTTCGATTTCTGTGCCTAAGCATGTATTTGGACATCCTGCTAAGAGGCCAGTTCTAGGAAAAAGGACTTGCTGGAACCCAGTAAACTGATTGCAACGTTTGTTTGTTCCAAACCCCATATTATTTCCAAGTCTCAAGACCTGTGTTGGTCATACTTGGATTGAGTGCATATTGTGTGGCAAAATCCAGTCTAAATAAGTCCAGGGTCTGCCTATCTGGCATTGCACTGTTGGCATGTTTAGGCTAAGGGGAATAATCTGCTCCATTTTTGTCTGAGTGCAAGATTGGATGTTATGATGTTTAGAAAGGGAATAGGAGCAAAAGGAGATGGAGCTGCTGCAGCAGAGCTGAAAGCTCCTCAAGAAACTGGAGGCAAATAGAAGACTTGGAAGAGAGCTTGGAGCCAGCTGACTGTCACAGGGTTAAGCATCCCACCTACACACAGGATCCTTCTAACAGCCAATTAAAATAATTTGATTAGGTTTTCACTGGAGAGCAGGGTCTCATTAAATTGCTGGAGTGAAATTTTGCAATGTAGTGTTAGATGACCATGACATAAGCAGAGAAGAATCTGGCAAGTTCTTTGCTACTCCCTGTACTGGCAATGCTGGTGGCTTCCCAGGAGGGCAGTGAGTCCTGCTTGGCTCCTGGGTAACCCTGGTGCAGTTTGTGACTGCATGAAGCTCCCTAGTAGAAAGCCATTGGCACCAGGCAGCACATCCTGTCTCTTTGAATTACTTTTAGGACATTGATACTCCTTGTCATCTCTCTCTTCGTTCCTTTATAATGGAGCACTGGCTACAGCAGTGCCAGAAGAGCAGGGCTGACACAACCATAGTCTGCACCTCCCAGTCCTTGCCACCCTGCTGCAGGGCCATGCATGGTGTGCCACCAGCACTTGCAAAAGCCACCACCATCCAGTGTGACCCAGCAAAGGGATGGGAGTGCATGCAGTGGTGTAGGGGAAGAACTGCCATTCCCATCACCAAACAGTCTGGGTCTCTGAGATAATTAAAGCTAATGGTAGGGGCTGGCAGGCAGTATGGATTGAAATAGGAAACCTGTTATCACCAGGACTGTTTGTATTTTAAAGAGAAGAGCAAAATTAAACTAAAGGCCTGAGATGTTCAGGTCAATCTTTGTTTTCTGTTTCCTATTTCTGGATGAGAACAGAAACACAAGATCAGAAGACTTCCAGGAAAACATGTTCTTGCCAGATTTCCATCTGGTTTTTGCAAAGCCAAGAGAGATTTATTTACAAGATGTTGTAATCACGGTCAGGTCTCTGTTGAGACAGGTGTTGCCCACAGGTATATGGAGCTGTAGTTCCTGTGCTCAAAAGCTGATAACAGTATAAGTCAAAATTGCAACCAGTGTCTTTTCACATTCCTTTATTTCTCATACAGGCAAATACCAACAAAATAAAACCAGGAACTCTGTGGCACAGTGTGTGCTTTCTGTGAGGAGCAAGTATAACCTCCTTGACCAGAATCAAACCTTTTGTTAACATTCTATCACTAGTCATCAACAGAGCTCGTTCATGTGCAAATTAGTCTTTCTGCTGCCTTCAGGACAGCAGCAGAATATCAAAGAAACCAGTCAGGCACCACTCCATGGTGGTGGAAGGAGAGCTCAAAAGACATTCTGATAACCCCACCAAAGCAAAGAACCAAAAGCCAATCTAAATGCTTGCTGATAAATCATAAATATATTCATGCTTCTTGGAATGCTCTTTTATTCACATGTGTTTCTATCTTCTGCCAGGTCTGTCAGCACCATCCGCAACCAGCGCTATCACATCCATGCCAACCTGTCCTTTGCTGTCTTGGTGGCTCAGATCCTGCTTCTCACCAGCTTTCAGTTCAGCCCTGGAACAGTAAGTCCTAAGAAGAGTGATTGTGTTTTTTGTGAGACAACTTCATGGAATGAATGGTACATGCAAGAAAGTGTCTTCCATGTGAGAGCTCCTATTTTGAACATGCCTTAGCCAAAAAGTTCTGTTCTACAACACTAGATAAAGCCTTTTGTGCATCCAAATGGTGTTATCGTGGTATCTGGTCATGTCTGGATGTTTGCAAAACCAAATGCAATATGTGCCCATCAAATGGAAAAATCATCAAATGGAAAAAATAGTAATGTAGTAGGTTTCAGTGTGTTGCCAAATGTCAAGGCTGATGTCTGCCTGACATGGCTTGTGCTTTCTCTCATCCACTCCCTGCTGAAAGCTGTAGGAACTCCCTACTGGAGAAAATTGTATGAATTGTGTGTTTAACTAAGGTACTTTTATCCCTCCTAGTGTTTTGGGTGATTTGGTTTTGTTTTGGTGTTTCTTTTGATTATCTGCTCTCTGCTATGGTACAATTTTGCCTTTGTTTTTTCTCCTACATTAAGAAGTTATCTTATTTGTGATAGAAGGTAATGAGCTTTGGCAATTTCTCTTGCTTTTTTTGGAGAGCAGAACAACATGTCTTTGTCTTTTCCTCATAAAGTTTTGTTTGTGTGGTAGAAGACATTGTTTTTCTGAATAGCAAATTTATTGACCATGATCTCTACTCTGTAGATTTAGATGATTTTTTAAAAGTATAAGTCATGTAATAACCAATGACAAAGGTAGAGCAACTAGTGCTTAATCAGCCAGAGGTGTCCCAAAGCTTTACCTCCAAGTTTTGTTGTGCAAGAGTTTAATCCAAAATCCTCAGCCTCATATATACTTTTCTGGCCATCTAAAGCAGCTGCTTAAGCAGCAACAAACACTTTCATATTGCTTACATGGTATTTTTGCTCTATGCTTGTATAGGCTTTTTTTCTGCCTGATCACATAGATCAGAACTTGAAATTACAGATTGATTTTATGGATCTGCAACTACAGGTGGGAATTCCTTATGCAGAGTACCAGGATCTAAACCATTAAAACTGGCACCTAAAACAGCTGGGTTAGATTAAGACAAATAGGCCAAGTTAGCAGTGTTACATACCAGTAAAACCAATATCTTTCCAAAGCTGTGTTTAAAAAAATGCAATTTAAAGTAACATAAGGTCTGTTGATGGCAAGTCCCACCTGAAAAGCAGAAACAAAACCTGATTTTAAAGTAAACTTGCAGGGTTCAAGTCCCACCTGAAAAGCAGAAACAAAATCTGATTTTAAAGTAAACTTGCAGAGTTTTCTGTTTTTGTAATGGTCAAAACTTGGCTGCTTTGGTGAGCAGCTGCTGCTCCATAGCACTTTTCAGGAGCACTGAGTGGTTTCTGTTAATCTTTTTTTTCTATTTATTCTCAGTACAAGTAAACATGAGGTCTGCACAGTCTTCATTTTACCAATACAACAGCTACTTAAATTTATATTCAGCTCAAATGAGATCCCTTGAACTTCTGTTAAGTTTATAAATAACTATAATGTCTGGGTTTGCATAGGGTGTTATTACCTGAGGATCTAAAAGCACTTTGTAAAACAAAGTTCCTACTCTTTTGCTGTTTAACATTCAGGTGGGTCCTGAATGAGTAAGATAATGTGCAAGGGAGAAAATGGTAGGGGATGGTTTAGAAGAAAAATGGAGACAGTGGAGAGCAGCAAAAGATGAAACTGAAGACAGTGGAAACCAGGCATGAAAATAATCCTCTCCTAAGTATAGAGCTCAAACCCTGCTGAAAGGACATAGGCTCGAGGGCAATAAAAGGTTCACTCAGTGTATCAGTGTATTTTATTCTCACAGTTTTTCGTTTTCCACCCATTCCAGGTTTTCAGACAAGCCAGCTGAGTCACTTCAGGTAGCTTGTGAAAACTTCTTTATACCTGATCAAGGCTCCAGCCTCGCCAGCTGAGTCACTTCAGGTAGCTTGTAAAAACCTCTTTATACCTGATCAAGGCCAACATCAGCTCCAGCCTTTTAAAATAGTATGAAATACTGGTTGTGTTTCCAGTTTTAAATTGGATGTAGGTAGAGCCTATGTTCTCCAGAGACCTGTCCCAGTGTCCACCTACATTTATAATCTTCCTTGGCCACACACAGAGGTCTTGCTCGTTTAGCCAAGCTTGTGAACTGCTCACATAGGCTGAAGTTGCAGTTTAATAGGTGCATATTTTCACATCTCTTAAGCTTATTCTAAACTTACTTCAGTTAAACTGGAGCAGCAGCACACAGAAAACAAGCCCTGTTTTACCCCACAGGCTTTGTGAAGTGAAATGCTTCACAGAATCCACAGATATTGCAGCCCTAGCTCCTCTGGAACAGCAGTAATTGCATGGCATAACACCGTGAGGATCTTAAAGTTGAAAAATGTGATGTAAATACTGTCTGCTGAGCTTTTGTTTTTATTGGTTTAGCCTCTTGGGATCAGAGTGGTTGTGATTCATCCTTTTATTAGTCTCATGCCCTTACCTTCTCCATGCTCTGTTCTGCTAGCTTTCACGTCAGTTTTAATACCTTTAATTGCAGCTTTAATTGAACTGCTAAATGGTCTTTAAAAAAAAAAAAAAAAAAAAATAAAAAGGAGGCAGTGTTTACACTAGAAGGTGTGAATTTGTAATCTTGTGCTCCTGCCAAAGATGGGTGTACCTAGAGCTAAGTAAGTGCCCTTGTTTGAGAGGACAGTGGTACCATTTGTGGGACCCTAAGGAAATTCTGTGCAACAGGGAATGGTCTGGGAGAAACAAGCTCTGAGCTGGCACTGCTTTCTTGCATGACTGCCTGTAGCTTCTCCATCCTTTTCCCATCCCCATCTCTAGGGATATTTAGTTTTTAATTCCAGATATGGCATACAGCATTCCCCTGGTAATTTCAGGTGTGTAATTTAATAATTTGCACTTACAGCAATTTTTCTTTTGCAGGGTAAGAGTGGTTTTGAACCACAAAACTCTCTTTTCACAACCTTTGGTCTTTGTCATACACCCTATTTATTTAGTTACTTATAAAAAGCTGGTCACTGATACCTAACATCAGTAGTCTTTAAATGATCATGGCACATTCCAGGAAAGTGATCATTCCCAAAACCAGGAAATCTTTCTTCTAGAAAAAGCAAATATCTTTGCACACAGCATTTCCTTCCTGCACTGCCAAGTCCCTAATGTATCTTTGCTCTCCTCATGTCTAATGAAAGTCTAATGACTTCCCTTAGACTTTCAGCAATAGATGGATTTGTTTCTTCATAGAGGTTTGCAGTCCCAATTTCTTACTCTCTGCTATAGGCTAGAGAGCACCATTGTTCCAACAGATTCCCAAACCACAGTGTGCCTTTAAAAATAATTAAGCATCAACATTTCTCTAGGCTCCTTAAGCCTTCCAAAGGCCTGAGTGTGTTTGTGGGAAAAACTGAAGTATTCTTTAGACCCAGGAAAATGAAAGTTGAAGCATGAAGTGTTAGGCAGCACTGTGGTTTTCCAGCACAACCAGAAAATCTAATGTGTCTGGATCACTGCATTGAGCTGTTTCTCACCCCATACTCCTGCATGGCATTGCTGAAAATACTTCCAAATGGAGAGATGAAATGAGCTGCTGTTGTTTATGGTATGTGTAGGCAGAAATTCCAGCCTGTGTCTCAAGGCAGAGTGTGGATTGCAGGGAAGGAGTTTTCAGAGGGTTCTGTAATGATGCAGTAGCATTGCCACTTGAAAACACTATTGTAAATTGAATTTAGAGAGTGCATACAAATGTAGCTAGCTATGTTTTAAGACTGTCCTCAGTAAAATATGACAAATATTTTCCAAGAGGCTTTTCTGAGAGTCTGCTTTACTTTCTCAACAAGCATAATATGATAGGCCTTGCTGCTGGCTGGGCTGGTTTTTCTGTTTCCACAGACTCACAAGTAGACAAGTGTATGAGTAGCAGTAATGGGATCTGTCTTTTTGCAAGTGTTCTGCTAAAAGTAGGGTGCATTATGTCCTACAGCAAGTGAGATGTGCTTGGATTTAGTGTGTAAAGGCTCAGTTTTTCAGTGCTTTTTCAAGAAGGCAATTTTGTCATGTAGGAGTAACATCTAAGCAATAATTAAGAGACAAAACTCGATTGAGTAGCAACTTTACTATGAATTTTATGCAAGTCTGCAATTAGGTATTATACAAAATTACATACAGCCCAACCTCCTGCTACTTCACCCTGTTTTATTTTTATGCTGTTTTGGGATTCATATTGTTTGGTTACTTGAAAATTGGAAAGTATCCATTTGACAGAAGTAGCTTGTAAGTCAGCTTTATGTTGCTTTTTTATATTTGTGGACTAATCTTCTGGTAGAAATCAAAATGCATTAAAATGGATTTTAGAGTATTATGATAAAACTAACTGGAAAGGCTTTTACAGTTTTTGTCAATAAGCTAATCTGGTTTAATAACATGTCACTGAATTTTGCAAGGTACTAAAGCATGTACAGCCCTCACTTACATGAATTAAACCCAAATTGATTGCTTTGGAATACATGTAGTCACATTGGATTTGCATTAGAATGTCTTTGCACCAGCACAAAACCAGCTGTGTACAAGTAAGAATGCATGGGAAAGCATCAATTTTCATTATACAATCAAGTCCCAACATTTTAATTTTCATTAGGGTGCAAAATCCCAAACTATCAACAGGAAGAATAAAATTCCAGCACAGGGAAGCTAAGCTAGTGCAACAAAGGGAACTAATGATTGACATCTATGGCAGTGAACTGGTTCCTACTGGAAGTTCTTCCTCAGCCTACAAATTCCACCTGCCTGGATTCCTTACTGTGACATGTCCAGCTGAGGAAGGGAAAAGTGTTCCCATTTTTCTAGACTGCAAACAGTCCCTCTGAAATTCTGTAGGTGCCACAGAAGGGATGTTACAGCTACAGAGCAGAACAACCATCATCAGTATTCTAACAAGATGCAAACCTGAGATGGAACTGGGACTCATTCCAAGCACATGTGGAAAATGTGCCTTCACTGAGAGCAAACCAAACAAGGTTATCTTGTGGTAAAATCACTGCAGTCACATCTGTTCAATTACTGGCTGATGAGTGAAGCCACTTGTGGTGAGACATCCTTGAAAAGCAATTAGTGGGGAGTGGAAAATGGTGTGAGTGGTACCTGAGGTGTGAGGAAGGAGAAAGGACTTGCTTTGCCTGTTTCCATAAGTTTGGCTGGCAGGAGGGTTAGAGAAAAATGTAAAGGTCTCTTAGAGGAGCAACTTAAGGGAAGATCAGGGCTCAGTCCTAGAGTATATTTCCTGTAACCCACAGTTACAGGACTGAGGTGAGTGTGAGCAGGACTTGAGGATGTTTTTACTTCTTGTAGTGTTGCCTTAGTCGTGGCATTCCTCTCTGCTGGGGCAGCATTTGTTTCACTTCAGAGCATGTTACAGCTTAAATTGGAACAGATAGTCCAGTTTGCACCAGGTGAACTCACTTTCTAAATGGTATTTTTCTGTAGCTTAAACTTTGGTATTAGGTCCTCAAAGCCTTGAGAGCACTTAGTGAATAAAAGACTAGCAAGGAGCACTGGAATTGCCTGTAAAGACTTTCAGTTCTTTGCCTTCATTACTCAATGTGTTCTTGTCAAATTTGATTTCATATACAACTGGTACATCAGACTGTGGGAATTGGGTCCCCAAACAGCAAACTAGACACCCACCAAAGAGCAATTAAGACTCCAGAGCCAATAATAGCTGACTATAATTATTTTCAATACCTGTATTATTGTTGCCGGTGTAGGAGCATGTGACTATAATTATTTTCAATACCTGTATTAGTGTTGCTGGTGTAGGAGCATGTAAGATTGTTACAGACTTTCTACCCAGGACAGACAGACACTGAAATACAATCAAATTTATTTTGTGTGTGTACTATTTTTGATATAAAGAATAGCAAAGTGGGAAAGCCACAGGGCAAAGTATAAATAAAGAGCAGGTTCAACATGGGACTTTATTTTAAAATTTCTATGTTTTGCTCAAGTTTAACTAATCCACTGATTTTCTGCCAGTTCTTTATATAAAATGAGGCATGAACTATGGTGGCTTTTTACCATCACAGAACAGGTAGCATAGTACAGGACAATGTTTGTACCTCACTTCTTTGGCTCCTATATTTACTACAGGCTCAGCAACAGGATGTAGATGCTTAAATTTTGAATTCTTAAAGATTTTGTAGACTTTAGTAAGAGTTTTTGCTCCTACTGTTGTAAATAAATAACACATTTGGATTTCCACATCAAGTTTGGTAATGTTTGAGTTTTTTCTATTTTTTTAAAGGTAAGAGGATTTGTTACTCTGAAACTATCTGAAAATGCTGCAGAAAATGAAATTGTCTAGTGCTTTGTTTTTAAGACTGTTTTACTTCAGTGATTTAGCATGTAAATATATATATATAATTTTTAAAAAAAATTGGAAAACCAATGTGACTTCATTGCAAAGAAATAATATATTCATTTTTTATTCTTAATTTAGGTGCCTTGCAAGATCTTGGCCATTCTCCTTCATTTTTTCTTCCTAAGTGCTTTTGCATGGATGCTGGTGGAAGGATTTCATCTTTACAGCATGGTGATCAAAGTATTTGGGTCAGAAGAAAGCAAGCACTTATATTATTATGGAATTGGATGGGGTAAGCATTTAGTAACTACTTACTTTAAGTCTCCTTACCATAGGACAAGATTATATTCAGAAGCATATTTGAAATTGTCATCTTATGATCACAGTTTTCCCTTACTGAGAATAGGTCTGTTGGAGAAGAAAATGCATAATTTTTCTGACTGTAATCAGACTTTAAATGTATAGTCCCTAAACCTAATTCTACTCCAATGAATCCCATGACCTCTCTAGGCCAGAGCAGACCCTTAATTACCAAATCAATAGCAGGAGTGTGGGAGGGAGGTCTCACTGCTCTGCTATGCTCTTTTTTTTGGCTCTAACTCACAGCACTGGCTTATTCTATCTGCATTCTGCAAGTCATACATAAAAAAATGGGCAGAGTAGCACAGAAATATCACAACACTTCATTAGTTCATGCTTTGTGCCTTGAAATCCTTAGACTGAAAGGCTGCACAGAGTATCAATATTATTATTAAGGATGAAAAGGTAGTCCTATCATAGCAATCCTCAGCTTTCAAAATGCAATAATGGAAGCATAATCTGTTTGCATATTGAGGAGTCAAAAGTGAGTATTTTGATCCAGACTCTTCCAGCAGAGGAGAGCTGGCTTGCTCTCACTAGCCTGGAAGTGCAGCAGTAATGCTTGACAAACTTCCACATAGGAAATCTCATTCATTGAGTCAAAGGACAGATGTGAAACAATAGCACAGGAATATCTCTCCAATTACAGATGATTTCAAAATATGTTAAATTATGCATCCTCTTCCTCCCCCCTCCCAAATTCATTTGAAGCTGCATGAAAAGCAATTATAGCAATAATACAGACCTGCTGCAGTCATAATTGGAATCCTTAATACCTCTTGGCACCATGGAGATCTGGGTGATAGTAATGCTGTGAAATAGATACATTCCAACATCTGCCTACTTGTTCTTCTTTTTATTATGTCCTTTTTATTTTGTGCATCATGCCTCACTCGTTTTAAAATCTCCTTCTTAGCAATTCTGTCTAAGGGCCATTTGACACAACTCTGGTGATCACAGTATCTGGTAGACTGAGGGGACAAACTGCAGTTAGAAGTTGGGGTTTTTTTCCCCTCTCTGTTTCTCTGTGACAGATTCAGGAGTATCACATACATGTGTCCTGATCCTTTTTGGTTTAGAGAGCTTTTTTCTCTTAAGGAATGGTTAGTTTACATGCCAGCAATGTGCTCCTTAAATCTTTGATTGCTGAATACATTTGGAAGCTGTTTTGCTGTAGTTTTAGTAGAGCTGTATAAGATATTCCCCTCCACACCTTCTTTATTTTTTTTTTTTAAACCCCTACTCAAAACAAGCCAAATGGAGTAATTAATCTTTTTCATGCACATAGACCCAAAAGTAAGAGAACCAGGAGAGGCTGAGGTTTGAAGACATGGAAGATTTGTAGGTTCTTCTAGATTCAGTGCTAAATGTAGAGGAACTAGTTGATGTTAGAGAGGTCTCTGGTGGATTTCTTTAATCCAGAGCTCATGGAATACAAATCCAAGTGGATCAAACCAAAGAAAATGTTCTCATAAGCCTGTGAGAACTCTGCCCTTCAGAAATACTATGTAAAAAGCCACGAGAGTTAATAAAATAATTAAGAGTTGGCATTTAATTCACTGGGGTATTTGCTTATAGCAGATGCTTTCATTAACTCAATTTGCAATCAATCATTAATTACCTTATGAAAAAAAATTAATGATTTATATGTGCTGCAATGCACCTTTGCCTGTTTTTTCTCTGGCATTTTGTGTAAGGTTTATTGGTTGTAGAATGGTAGTGATCTGTGAAATGATTTAGAAGACACAAGAACAAACATCTGACTGTGATAGGATGAGTATGAAATGCTGCATTTTGCCTCATTTTATTGCACTATGGTTGCTACCACACAATTAGTAGTATTTAGGGCAATGAGTAGATATTGGTACATAACCCAAGGGGATGTTAAATGAGGTTGCTAAAAAGTCTCTCCAGTGGTATTATGGTTAATGGTTAGGGGGAATAATCCCTCAGGTCCTACAATAGGTATTTGTCATAAAAATAGATGTACAGAGCATAATATAGGAGGCACCAGCAGTTTCTATATCAGTTCTTCTAGCAGTGCTCTTTTTGGCAAGAACTGTGTAAGAAACTTGGTGGCAAATTCTGTTTCTGTAATGTAACAAAGGTGTCATTGGGTGGAAGGCATCATGTACATAAAAGTAATAAATTTCTCTGTCAAAACTCTTTTTCTGGCAGATATTTTAATTTTAGAAAGCACATTCAAATTATTATTCTTACAATGGCCTGTAAAACAATATGTTTTCTGAAATCCAGTAAATCTACCACATTGTTGGGAAAGTAGTTTGCATTGCTTCAGGTTTTGTGTAGTTCAAAGTGTTTACATTTGAATTAAATGTTGAGTTTGCTTAATCATATCTGACATCACGTCATAGCTGCAAGTGTGCCTGAACATCACTGAAGTAATTGAAGTAGGCAACTGTATTCCAAATTGTTTATCTCTTGGAAAGTATCAGGGCAACCTTCTTTCAGTCAACAGCATCTCAGCTCACTGTCAGGGATGGAACTCTACTGCTTGTTCAGTTGGTAATAGAAGTTGCTGAACAATGAGGTTTTCAGAGAGAAAATCTCCACTGCAGTGTTCACTACTTTAATGCTTACAAGGACATGCAGGTTTATCAGTTCCTGACTTTCTCTTTTATTGCCATATTGGCACTGAAAAGGGCTGGAAATACTTAATTAGGGATCAAGTGTCAGTACTGCCTTCAGCAGCAGTGTGTGCTCCACAGAGTAGAGTTTGGGTTGCTCCTTCATGAACTGAATGAAAGTACAATAGAGAGAAGAGAGATATATTCCTTAAAACTCCCATACCTAAATAAAAGGGAAAAGAGGCTTAAAAGGTTTTGTCATAAAATTAATTTGTTTGGCTCTTAAAATGAGGGTCAGTTTGCATTGAATACAACTGTCAGGAGGAAGTCAAACATTCTTGTGCCATTTAAAATGAGGGTCAGTTTGCATTGAATGCAACTGTCAGGAGGAAATCAAACATTCTTGTGCCACCCTGAGACCATGATAGATCCACATTTTCCAGGATCTAATGAGACTGGGGTTTTTATACTTTAGCTTACCTAATTGTTATAGTGAGCTAAGATGGTTGAAAGAATTTCAAGAGAAGGATGTCTCATCTCATGTTAGTCAAAACAGACAGTTCATTTATTGGTTCTGTTCTTTAAATTGAAGTGTGAATACAATTGACTTTTGCAAATTCATTGTTCCTGGAATTAAAAAACTCAGGCCCATCATTCTCATTTAAGCAGAGACACACTGGGCTAGGTACATGTGTAAATGTTTGCAAGGTCTCTGTTAATGATAAATTGCAACTTAAGGCCATGTGAGGAAAAAGGGACAAGGAATTCTATAGTATCACCAATCCTCTAACATCTGTTGAGATATCTGAGAGATATTACTGCTGTAAAATGGGTTCAGTGGTAATCAGAGAGTCAGGCTACCAAATGTGCAGAGCTGATTGAAGTTCCTGTGTATTATCTGTAGTCCCAAGGGTGCTGAAATTAGCTCAAAGACTGCAGCTGTCAGGAATTAAAAAAAAAAAAAAAAAAAAGAGCAATTTGAGGAAGGTGATAATATCCTACCTTTAAAACTACCTTGCTATCGATTGGGTAAAAAACCCTCAAAACTACTTTGTTGCCTTGGTGATTCAGCATAACACACAGAGATTATTGTAGCAAAGCTTTTCCCTCCCATTTGTAGGACACTGGTGATAGAGTCTATGATACTGGACATTTTGCCTTAACCTTTTTTCCTATTTCAGCCAATTTCCTTTCCTTTAGAGATTGTCACAGAATGAAGACTTTGTTCTGAACTGTTAAATGACGCAAATTTCTTTATTTGCTCTTAGTTGATGTAGTCCCAGAAGTCTGCCTAGGTATGATGTAAGACAGCAGAAGAAAATCATAGAAAATGAACCTCTACAAAGCAAATAGGAAAACATATTTTTTTCCCCTCAAGCAAAGCAGATCTTTTCCACATTGGAAGGAAATATACTTTCATTTGTGTCTAATGCTTCATCCTTCTCAATAAATGACATATTTAACTTTTCAGAATTAATGTCCTAAAATTGCTTTGACTTATCTGCCACAGAGTTGCTATAGCCTGTCTGGTTTGGGGGTTTTTTTGCTGTATATAAAAGACAGAAGCTTTCAAAATACAGCATACAAATTTATAGGTGTTTTCCATTTTATTTGCCATTAGTGCCTCAGAAACAGAGAATTATAGAATCACTGAATAGTTTGGGCTGGAAGGGACCTTAAAGATTGTCTAGTTCCAAACCCCTGCCATGGGCAGGAACACCTTCCACTAGACCAGGTTTTTCCAAGCTCTGTCCAACCTGGCCTGGAACCTTTCCAGGGATGGGGCATCCATAGCTTCTCTGGGCAACATTTTCCAGTGCCTCATCACCCTCACAGCAGAGAATTTTCCCCTAATATCTAATCTAAACAAATGCTCTTTTAGTTTGAATCCATTCTCCCTTGTCCTCCAGGTTCTTGTAAAAAGTCTCTCCCTCTTTCCTGTAGGCTCCCTTCAGGTACTGGAAAGCTACAAGTAGGTCACCCTGAAACTTTATCTTTTCCAGGGTGAGCAATCCCAATTCTCTCAGCCTTTCCTTTCAGGAGAGGTGTTCCATCCCTCTAATCACCTTGGTAGCCTCCTCTGGAGACATAAAGCTGATGGATTAGATTTGAAGGTTAATGCTGAAGAAGACAACCTCACTGCCATTGCTTTTAGACTTCATCCTAGGGACTCTATTTAAGCTGAATTAATGGATGCAGGATGTATTTTGATGCCAAATTTGGGAGATGGTAGCTTTCAATTAGGTGATTTGAGGCCCTGGAGAATTCAGGCTGCAGCAGCACAAGGCTCCATGTGGGGTGATACACCCAATTTAAATGTGATGCTCTAGGCCCACAGAGACACAGGTGACACCACTGCCACAGCTCAGCTGCCAGAAAGGTGTGCTGGAACATTTTGATCCTGTCCTGTGCTCTGGAAAGCACAGTGTGTTGTATCAGAACTGTGGTGATTTGGAGTAGGGTTAGTGAGCATATTTGTAGCATCTGCTAGGTGAGAAAACATAGTACAGTAGAAAATCTTAACCACAATTCTTTCATGGAGGATAACCAATGCCATTAACATTACCTGTTATGGGTGTAGACTAAACTTCACAGCTTCTATGTAATTATTACTGACAAAAGATTAAGCAAACACACTTGTTTTTGTGTATGTTTTATATATATCTATATCTATCTATCTATCTATATATAGATATACACACATATATATATATAATC